CACACACACACACACACACACACACACACACACACACACACACAATCACACCCCTCTCTGTGATACACAAAGATGCTGGCATGTTCACACAACATATAATAACAACAAAGGTGCAAAAGGAAACCACAAAAATTAGCTGGAATATGAAATCTAGTGGAGGAATATAGTTTGGAATAGGCAAAATGGGAACTCAAGATAGTCAGGACATTTATCCTTGCTCCCTGCAAGGAAGACCACCTCCTGTCACTTCACAAGATAACTCTGGAATTTGCTTATCTTTTCAATTTTAGTACTTTTATTACGTCTGTTTAGGTTTATTTTTGCTTCCCAGAAACTTAGCACTTTTGTCTTTAAATCTCTTACTCTAATTGTTAACCCCTTCCTAAGTGTGATTTCATTATTAGATTTTATTTTCCAATAACATATGCCCCACTTCATAATGGAAAGTAGTGGGAGAATGGCATTCAAGTTCCTAAAACCTCTGTTTCATTATGATATTATAAAAATGCATCATTTCCATTGAGGGCAGAGAGAATCTGTGACAGCCATCAGATAAATTATAATTCATGTATAATATTTAAGAATTCAAGGAAATCCTTTAGGTAAAGTTGGTAAAAAGTCTACTTAATCCTGGCACAGCCTGACCTCTTGCAACCTCATGAGTGTTTGCTGAAGCCTTGGCTTCACGAGGCACCTTATTAGAAAGGTAATTCTCAGGCCCGACCCAGACCTGTGAATCAGAACTTGCATTTTGACAAATCCCCCGTGGGATTTGTGTGCACATTAAAGTTTTAGAAGGAGGAGTTATCCAGTCCTAGAGAAACTCCATGAACAGAAATTACTCTCTTTAATTTAGCTTGGGTTTCCTCCCAAAGATCTACAGACCCAAGCATTAATAATTTTCAGTATCTTGACTAAATTTACATTAAGATACATTCCTGGAATTTGGTGGCCTCCCTATATTTCATTTTATATCCATTACAATGGTTCTGTGTTGTCCAGACTGTCCGTCTCCTCCTTGCCACAGGAAAACCAGGCATGCATGGGGAGAAAGGGATCAGCGATTTGAATTAGAGAATGATATGGAAGACTGACGAGGACTGTTCATTGTATGGAGGGATTTCAACTCAGTCACCACATTGCTTTCTTCTCAAAGAGTTGTCTTAGGCTTCAGCCAATGGAGTCATTTCTGCAAAGGAAAACCCCCAAACTTGGGGGTTTGTGAATAACATGCCAAATAAATTAGATTAATTAGGCATTTCTTTGCTTGAGTTTCTTTCTCCCACCATGGTTCATCTCTTTATTTGTGACTCTGAGAAGCCAAGGAGAGGCCACATCCTCTGTAACTGGAAACATGGTTGCTGAAGGTATCCCTTGCCAGACAGCTAACCACCAGAGGAAAAGATGCCTCTCCTTTCCTTAAACTTGGGTTTACTGGTGGTAACAATGACATTCCTGCTGAAAAAATTAAGAGGTGTGGGAAAAAAGAGAAAAAAAAAACTATGTCAGCTCTTAAGGTAACAAAAAAAATGTGGCATACCCAAGCTGCATCCCAGACATCCTTCTTCACAAGGCACGCATTCTTCATAGTCTGGGTCTTGAACTTCACCTATACAGGAAGAGTGAGAAATAACGGTTCATTTTTGCTGAGTGGAGATGCGTTCATTGCTATGAAAATACGTTGGCGTGTAACTTGTTTTCTGCCCTTTCCTTTTCTCAGAGACAACAAATTTTAATTCTTTTAGCTGTTTCTTTGTTTTTAACCTCCAAATGTCTAAATGACATAATTATGATGCTACCTACCTCTTGATTTTATTCTTAGGCATTACCTGTAGTGGCAAAGACTAGCTTTGTTTCACCACCATTCCAACAGACATAGACATACTTTCCATCCTCCCAAATGATAAATTTTGTTGGATTAATATTCAGTATTTATAGTGTTTGTAATATTTATAGTATGATTATACTATTATTCATATTTTTAATGATATTTGGGCTCTTGTATACCTTTTTGTTTTCTCTTATGCTGCTATTTTTCTAGCTTCCTTATTTATTTTTACAGAATCTGTCCTTAATTCATCCTCAACTGTTCAAGTAGAAATCTCCCAGCTCTTGCATTAGTTTATTTTGTTTTTTTTTAATTTTTTTTTATTGTGTTATGTTAGTCACTAGATAGCATTAGTTCTTGATGTAGTGTTCCAAGATTCATTGTTTATGTATAACACCCAGTACTCCATGCAGTATGTGTCCTCCTTAATACTCACCACCAGGCTCACCTGTCTCCCCACCTCCTCCCCTCTTAAACCCTCAGTTTGTTTCTCAAGAGTCCACAGTCTCTCATGGTTCGTCTCCCTCTTTAATCGCCCCCACTTCACTTTTCATTTCCTTCTCCTCATGTCCTTCATGTTATTCCCTATGTTCCATAAGTAAGTGAAACATACGATAATTGACTCTCTCTGCTTGACTTATTTCACTCAGCAAAATCTCTTCCAGTCTCGTCCATGCTGATACAAAAGTTGGGTATTCATCCTTTCTGATGGAGCATAATACTCCATTGTATATATGGACCACATCTTCTTTATCCATTCGTCTGTTGAAGGGCATCTTGGCTCTTTCCACAGTTTGGCGACCGTGGCCATTGCTGCTATGAACATTGGGGTACATATGGCCCTTCTTTTCACTCCATCTGTATCTTTGGGGTAAATACCCAGTAGTGCAATTGCCAGGTCATAGGATAGCTCTATTTTTAATTTTTTGAGGATTCTCCACACTGTTTTCCAAAATGACTGCACCAACTTGCATTCCCACCAACAGTGTAAGAGGGTTCCCCTTTCTCCACATCCTCTCCAACACTTGTTGTTTCTTGCCTTGTTAATCTTTGTGATTCTAACTGGTGTAAGAATCAAATAATAAATAACAAATAATAATGTAAATAATAAATCAAATTTATTTTGATTTGAATTTCCTAGATGGCTAATGATGATTAACATTTTTTCATGTGTCTGCTAGCCATTTGTATGTCTTCTTTGGAGAAGTGTCTGTTCATGTCTTCTGCCCATTTTTTGACTTGATTATTTTGTTTCTGGGTGTTGAGTTTGAGAAGTTCTTTACAGATCTTGGATATCAGCCGTTTGGCTGTAGTGTCATTTGCGAATATCTTCTCCCATCCCATGGGTTGCCTTTTTGTTTTGTTCACTGTTTCCTTTGTATTTGTATCTTTTTACTGTCATCCTGAGGATTCCTTTCATCCCTCTCTTCCTTTGATGCCCCATTTTCTGGACCTTATATTTTCTAATTTCTTGTTCTATTTTTTGGTGGAACGTACCCTTTACAAGTAATTTTCCCAAGAGAGGATGCATGGGAGGTAAAGTTTTGGAAAACTTGCATGATTGAAAATACTCTTTTTTTACCCCTCACACATGACTCATGGCTTGACTGAATTTAGGATTGAAAAGAGAAATGATTTCTTTTCTTAAAAGTTTGAAGTTTTTGTCCCATTTTTATGTTTTAGTTTCCAGTATTGTTGAGAAGTTGTCATTCTGATAGCCAATCCTTCTTGTATGACCTGCTTTTTTACTCATAGGAGTTTTTAGGGTTTTCCTTTTGCCAAAAAAAGAAATCTATTTTCCAAATTCTTAAAATTGTGTGCCTTGGTGTGTGTCTTTTTAAAATCCGTTAGGCTGTATATGCAGAAGGCTTGTTCAATCTGGAAATTCATGCCTTTCAGTTCTGGGGTAATTTTCTGAATTATTTCTTTGTTAATGTTCTCTATTCTGTTTTTGCTGTTTACTCTTTAAAAACCTGTATTATTTGAATTCCTGGGTTGACCCTGAATTTTTCTTCCCTCTTCTCCATTTTCTACTTTTATTTTTTATTTTAGTTCTACTGTCTCAGTGATTTTAAAGTTTTTTAAAAATATTTTTTCCCCTCTTCATTTCCATTCTTCTATAATTGATTTTTGAAAATTTTTTGAAAAAATTTTTAAAAAGATTTTACTTATTCAGTTGAGAGAGAGAGAACAAGCAGGGGTGGGGCAGAGGTACAGGGAGTGAGAGAGAGAAGCAGATTCCCCACTGAGCAGGGAGCCTGATGGAGGGTTTGATCCCAGGACCTGGAGATTGTGACCCGAGCTGAAGGCAGATGCCTAACTGACTGAGCTACCCAGGTGCCCCACTATAGTTGCTTTTAAAGATTTATTTATTTGAGACAGAGAGAGCCCCCCACCCCCGCCACTCATCTGTATGCATAAATTGGGGGAGAGCAGAGGGAGAGAATCTCAGACTCTCCACTGAGCATGAAGCCCAGTGTGGGGCTTGATCTCATTATCCATGAGATCATGACTTGAACCAAAACCTACAGTCTGATGCCTAATCACCTGAGCCACCCAGGTGTCCCCCCCTTTCTTCTATAATTAAAAAAAAAATTTCCAAGATCACATTTTTATTTTCTGAGTATTTCTTAATGTATTTTTTAAATTATGTGTTTCAGGTATACAGTATAATTTGATATCTGTATATACCACAAAGTGATCACCCTCAAAATCCAGTTACCATCCATCACCCTATAGTTGACCCCCTTCAGCCCTTTCTCCCAGCCCACACCCTCTTCTCTCTGGTAACCATTAGTCTGTTCTCTGTATCTATCAGTTTTGTTTTGTTTCTTAGATTCTACATATGAGTGAAATCATATGGTATTTGTCTTTCTCCTGATTTATTCCACTAGCGTAATACCCTCATGGCCCATCCATATTGTAAATGGCAACATTTTATTCTTTTTTTTTAATGGTTCAACTTTATCCATTCATCTACTGGTGAACATTTAGCTATTTTCAGGTTTTTGGCTATTGTAAATGCCATAATGAACACCGGGATGAGTATATCTTTTCAAATTTGTGTTTTCTTGTTTTTTGGATAAAAACCCAGTAGTGTTGTAACTGGATCATGTGGTAGTTTTATTCTTAATTTTTTGAGGAATATTCATATGTTTTCCACAGGGACTACATCAAATTACACTCCCACTAACAGTGTATGAGGGTTTCCTCTTCTTTGCATTCTCTCTAACACTTGTGATTTCTTGTCTTTTGATAATAGCCATTCTAATGGGTATTAGGTGGTATCTCATTGTGGTTTTGATTTGTGTTTCCCTAAAAACTAGTGATGCTGAACATCTTTTCATGTGCTCATTAGCCATCAGTTTGTCTTCTTTAGATGAGTCTTTAGTCCATTTTTAGTTAATTTTTGTGTATGGTACAATGAAGTGGTCCACATTCATTCTTTTGCATGTAGTTCACCAGTTCTCTTGGCACCATTTATCGAAAAGATTCTCTTCTCCTTTGTATGTTCTTGGTTCTTTCTTCGTAATCAATTGTCCATATATGCATGGGTCTATTTCTGGGCTCTCAGTTCTGTTCTATCAACTTACATGTCTATTTTCTTTTTCTTTTTTTGGTGTGTCAGCACCATATTGTTTTGAATACTATAGCTTTGTAGTTTGAAGTAAGGGAACATGATATCTCCAGCTTGTTCTTCTTTCTCAAGATAGCTCTAGCTATATAGTATCTTTTGAATGGTGAATTTAGTCCATTTACATATAAAGTAATTATTGGTAAGTATATACTTACTGTCATTTTGATAATTGTCTCCTGGCTGTTTTTGAAGTTCCTCTCTGTTTCTTTTTTCCCTCCCTTCCCTTGTGGTCTGGTGGCCTTCTTTAGTGTTATGTTTAGATTCCTTCCTCATTTTCTTTTGAATATTTACTATGGTTTTTTTCCTTTGTGGTTACCATGAGGTCCACATATAATATCCCATGTATATAAGAGGTTTTTTAAAGTTGACAGCATCTTAATTTTGAACACATTCCAAATCTCCACATTTTATAATTTCAATGACATATATTACATCTTTTAATTTTATGCATCCATAATTATTTTAATTTTAATTAATTTTACTATTTTTGTATTTTAACCTTAAATTTGCTTTGTAAGTGATAGATTCACTCTTCACTACCTTTATCATGTATTTACCTTTTCCAGTAAGAGTAATACTTTCATATGTTTTCATATTATTAGTGTTTTTTCTTTTTAGTTTAGAGAAATCTCCTTACCGTTTCTTGTAAAGCTGTTTTAGTGGTAATGATCTCCTTTAGATTTTGCTTATCTGGAAAACTCCTAACCTCTCCTTTATTCTGAATGATAACCTTTGCAAGTAGATAATTTTTGGTTGGAAATTTTTTTCTTTCACCACTTTGAATCTGCTACTCCCTTCTGGCCTATAAAATTTCTGCTGACAAACTTTCTAATAGGCATATGAGTTTTCTTTGTACATTAAATAAATTGTTTTTCTGCACCTCTTTTTAGATTCTCTCTCTTAACTCTTACCATTTTAATTATGTATCTTGGTGTGGTTCTCTTTGGGTTCATCTTATTTGGAATTCTCTGGGATTCCTGGGCCTAGATGTCTGTTTTCTTCCCCAGGTTAGAGAAGTTTCTAACCATTATTTCTTTGAATATTTTTTCTGTGTCATCTTGTGTCTCTCTCTCTTTTTAAAAAGGATTTTTATTTATTTTAGAGAGAGAGAGTGCAAGTGAGTTGGGAGAGGAGCAAAGAGGGAGAAGGAGAGAGAATCTGAAGCAGACTCCCCACTCATCACAGAGCCTGATCTCATGACTGTGAGATCATGACCTCAGCCAAAACCAAGAGTTCGGTGCTTAACTAACTGAGTCACCTAGGTTCCCCTTGATGTGTCTCTTTTATCTTTAGTTTTAGAGGTGCTGTTTATCTAGTTCTCAGGTCCTTTTTGGAGGAAACTTATTATGCATGTAGCCATAAAATTATAGTGTCTGTAGAGAGAGATGAGTTCAAAGTCTTTTTACACTCCCACCCTGAATCCCCCTTCTAATCTCTTTCCATTAATTTAATAGATTGGATCAGATTGATTGGTACAAACAGAGTAAGTTGGGCTATATGCCATGCAACTAGTTTTGACATCAAGAAGTTCCATTTCTGGGAATATGGAATTGGGTATATAAGTGAACAGACTCTGTCTTATTAAATCTGCCTTCCCAAATTATTTTTTCAAGATTTAAATCCTATACTACATTAGTGAACATAAAGCAGAAAAAGGAATGAATGTCTTAATTATTCTAGAAACATCTTGGAGCTCTTTTTAGCACCAGACCAGGCATAATTCTTATACAGAGCAGAGAAAATCTGTAGCATTCTTACATGGAAAAGAATAAAAAATTTAAGTCCTATTTTTTAATCTTCTTCCCATGTAAGATATGAAATTGGGCCGTAGCAATAACACATATGATTTATAGGACATTTCATATTTTCAAGTAGCTTTAGGTAAGTTTATTCTCTTCGGCTTCTCACAGCAACCATCTCGGTGCAATGTTCACCCTTTCCCACACGAAGAATAAAAGGCATAGAGAAATTAGACTCATTTTGCGCAGGGTCTCATAACTAGTAATAGGAAAGGACAAAATTTTTGGTCAGGACCTTCAAATTCTGATTTGATTTTCTCTCCATTATACCCCACCCACAAACCCTTGATTCAATATCCATGTCTCTGTGATCAGCTGCATTACTGTGTCTCTGGAATGTGTCTGAAGAGACCCAGAGAAAGGTGTGTGGAGGAAGAGGGAGGAGCAGCCATCAGTGTCCCCACTGGACATAGAGTCACACAAAGTCATCCCAGGTGCCAACATTAAAGCCAGGAGGTCAATTCAAATCTCAGAGCCATCCAGAGGTAGAGCTCCTCATTCTGCCTCCTGGTATAAGACTGGCCCAGAGCAGCCTTACCTTGTCCACACTCCAACTTCTGGCAGGTGTGGTTGCTGGGCACTATGAAGTAGCCATCCATGCATCGTGTGCAGATGTGTGCACTGTGACAAAGTTCACAGTTGTCTGAGCAGGGCAGGCAGGTGTGCCCCTCGGCGGGATAGTGGCCTGCTGGGCAGCTCTCCCAACACTCCCCCTGATAAAGGAAGCGCTCCTGGCCATGCTTATCTGAACAGATGGAGGGGCAACAAAAAAGAAAAATGTACAAAATTAACTGTGAAACTAATGTAACCTAAGATTAAAATTTTTTTAAAAATATTTATTTATTTGACAGACAGAGATCACAAGTAGGCAGAGAGGCAGGCAGAGAGAGAGGGGGAAGCAGGCTTCCTGCTGAACTAAGAGCCTGATGTGGGGCTTGATTCTAGGACCCTGAGATCATGACCTGAGCTGAAGGCAGAGGCTTAACCCACTGAGCTACCCAGGCACCCAAAAAAATTTTTTTTTAAAGATTTTATTTATTTATTTGACAGAGATCACAGGTAGACAGAGAGAGGGGAAGGGAAGCAGGCCCCCTGCTGAGCAGAGAGCCTGATGCGGGGCTCGATCCCAGGACCCTGGGATCATGACCTGAGCTGAAGGCAGGGGCTTTAACCCACTGAGCCACCTGAGTGCCCCATTTTAAAAGAAAGATGTAACTGAGTATTTTGGCTGCTAGGGGACCAGGAGTATAAGAATGCATTTAATGAAAAGTTCAAGATCTATATGCTTATGGTCGAGAAGTTTTCATTGCAGGGAATAATTTTTGAGTATTTTGTACATTTGAGTGAGTCGGAACTACCATCTAGGATGTCATTGCAAAAGCAGAAGCCACACGCTGTGAGTAACTATGAATCAGAAAGTGTTTAACTTTCCCAAGGGCTCCTTTTGGTTTCTGTGGAGGGTCTCAGACTTGGGAGCTATGGGGATCCTATGAGAATAAACAAATGCTTCCTGATAGAACGGTTTCTGTGAGAGTCCCGACTTTTAGAATGATTTTGAATTCAGTTATCAAAATCACACACTCGTATTAACTGTCCAAAAGTCTGAATTTTTGCATGGCTGCCAGTTCCTACGATGACAGCGTAGGAGGACAGTCACCTTTTTGACTCCTTAAATGGATTTTTGGGAGTCCTGAGCTTCTGTCAACATTGGAGTCTACATGGAAAGAATTAGCAGTATGTCTAATACGAGACTACGGGAAGTTGCTTTTGGAGGGAATAGAAAATTAGAACCAATTATAAACTCACACTGAATGACAAAGGGTTAGAATCAGTTTATATACACATAAAACAAGATGAACTAAATGTGCCTGGAGGTCCCCTGCCCTCGCCCTCCTGGAGTTTTTGTTTATGCTGAGTGTGTGTAGGGATCTGTCTTCTCTGGATTAAGTCCCCCATATGCTCCTGCTTCTGCAGAACAGCTGACCTGTGTTTCCCAAAATAACCGGGGTTAGTGTTCACTTGTGATATTCTACGTGGAGATCCAGAACCATTGACCTTCAAGGTGCAAGGCTGCTGAATCTGTGGATAGAGATATCACTCACCCCATGTTGCAAGAGCAGAATCTTAACATCAGTGTAATAGTCCTTGCCAGCATTCAAGTATTTCTGTGTCCCTAACCTGGCACTCTCAAATGATCTAACCTGGTGTTTTGTCCTTAACTAAATCCCTAGTTCAAATCCAGTTTAAAAATCACACCCTTGGATTATGAGCCCTGAAGCTACCTCTTTAGTGTTTGTGATTTCCAACCGGAAGTCTGCTGGTTCCCATGGGACAAAGGCAATAAAGAGGACTTCCCTGGGGAAGTGCAACAAAGTGTCAGCCCTCTCCAAGTTTGAGTTGGAAGAACATTCTCCTCTAAGGGAAGAAGAGTGTTTGGGAGGATGTCATGTGCATTTGGGGATTAATAGGGAGCCCAAACCCCTGACCTGGTAGAATGTGGAATCTTGACACCACAAAAGGGCGAACATTCCAAGCTATGTTCTTCTCAGACACCTTATGAAACCCTAGCAAACCCCATTTCCACCAAGACTCATTCAGAAAAGATCCTGTTTTTCAGAAGGCCGTACTTCTGAGATATAGTTAGGAAGATCTGAGGAGAACAGTGAGAAGTTATTCCCTCCTCCATTCAGCCATTGCTGTAGGGTGTAGACGTATCCCCTACACCCTCACATGACATCACCTCAGGATCCAGAGGCTTGGGGACAGCCTGGCATATACCAAGTTCTAAATACTTATTTGTTGTAGGAATGATCGAATAGCTAAGTGCATTAATATTTAGCAATATTCCCATTTTTCTAATGTAACCGACTGGATCAATAATCTAAAAATAAAAACTAACAGTGATGAGTTTCAATACCAGAGGAAATGTTCTCCAATCCCATTTGTATTGTTCAGACATGGCTTTGTTATTTGAACCACTTTGGGTATTGCCATTTGAGTTAAAAAAAAAAAAAAAAAACAGATTTGGATGGTCTTGGTATTTAAAATACACGGACCCTGTAAAGGAGTTAACTTAGATGCCTTGATCATGGGCAGATTTTCCCACAGGTTTGGTCTAGAATTACCCCAAGATGTGCTCAAATTTCTAATAGCCTGGGTAGTATGGCAGCTCACTTAGTTTTCACTGGTAATTTGATGTCCCACGGATTTAAATTACCATGCATACATTTTTGGCTACTTGACTAGAGTCTCAGAATTTAAATTATTGTGACAATATGTAGGAGAAGCTGGTTCTAGTAACAGAAGGGCTGATATTTTTGTTAGGTGCAAACCTTTCATGTGATAATATGAGACAAGAGTGAAAGTGCAAGAAACTCCGAGATCGGCTTTCTTTTATACTTAAGAGCAATTAGCTGTTTCCAGAGCAGCTAATTTCATTGGAAGAAAATGTGGACTCATGTGAAGACGACTGAGGGAACCCCTGGGTGGCTCAGTCAGTTAAGTGTTCACCTTCAACTCAGGTCATTATCCAGGGTCCTGGGATTGAGTTTCACGATGCACTCCCTGCTCAGCGGGGCATCTGTTTCTCCCTCCTCTCTGCACCTACCCCTGCTCATGCTCGCTCTCTCTCTCAAAGAAATAAATAAAATCATAATCTTAAAAAAAAAAAAGGCTGAGAGATTCTGAAAATAAACTTTATAAAGTTTACTTCAATATTTTTCTTACTGTAGCTGTTGTGTGATTGGTCGAATTTAGTTTTGGGTTCAATTTCATAGAGGACAAATCTGGACAAGAACGTTAGAGGGAATCTTCACTCCCAGGGCTGGAGGTCTGTATTTCCAAAAAGGATTCAGACCTAAATCTTAACAAAATTACGATTAACCAAAGGCGAAATTTCTGTGAACTCCTGGGAGGCACTCGTGCGTAGGCTGGGCACCCTGTAGCCAGAGGATTTCAGCCTTTTAATTTTTTTTAACAATTTTATTTATGTATTTATCTGAAAGAAAGAGAGAGAGAGAGAGAGCAAGGGGAGGAGCAGAGAGGGAGGGAGAGAAAGGGGGGAAGAATTTCAAGCAGACTCTGTGCCCAACGTGGAGCTTGTCACAGAGCTTGAGCCCACAACTCCCCGAGATCATGACCTGAGCCAAAACCAAGAGTTGGAGGCCCAACTGACTGAGCCACCTAAGCGTCCCTCAGTATCAAAGCCTGTTGATATGGAACTGCCTCAGGTCAGGGATCCCTTGTCTTTACCACTGTTTCCCGTATTGGCCGTGCTCAGATATGTCCTAGGGACAACATGCTCTGCAGAGGAGGGAAATCAGAGCCCACTCAACAATGCCCCCTCTGGCAAGGCTTTCCCGCTCACTAGAGCTGAAGGTGATGTTTCTTCTCTGACTTGTGGTAGGATTCCTTCCTTCCTTTGGTCTTTAATATTTTCTTGTGTTTATAATCCATTATTAGCACAGATCCCTCTGTTAGGCTGTCAACTCCTTGAAGGCAAGCATCATACAATCATTTATTGTCTTGTCCCATGACCACTATGTGTAGTAACTTCCACAGGTGAACTTTTATTAAGATAGGGAGTAAACATAGACTTTTAAACAAAAAATAGAGAAGTGTCAAAGCATCTTTTGTGTGGATTGGCCCAAGTAACTGTAGGATGCGTAGAACATTCTAGACATTTGTTCAGTATTCAAGGGAATCCTTAATTTTGGACTATGTATGAAGAGTCAGTGTGTTTTTAATGTGAAGGGGAATTTTTTAGATGCTGTCTTGCCTATGTGTCACCCCCAGCCCCATTTTTTTTTAAATTAACAAGGAGAGACTCAAAGAGGTGAAGAAATGTCTTCTAGTTCATTAGTCACAAAGCAG